TAGTCGCCTACGAGGCACTTGAGAGGAACCAAGCCGAAGGACGTTCGGAGTCATCCCCAAGAGTCGACACTCCTCTACCACCGCTAACAACAGTCGCCGAGCCAGCAGCCCGCAAGAATAAGTTTCCCGACCTAGAGCGTTTTGATGGGACACGTGATAACTACCTAGGTTAGAAATTTGAGTGCGAAGGGAAGCTAGAGTACGACTACGCCATGTTCCTAACAGAGGACGCAAAGGTCCGATACGTGCTTAGTCGAACGAAGGGCAAAGTAAACCAGGTCCTTCTTCCCTAGGTGCTTGAGAATAAGGAACGAACTACGGCCGGCCTATGGGAGCACATGGATACTCACTTCTAAAACGTGCACTAGCAGCAGCGTGCGCTAAATAAGCTTCGGCACTTAAAGCAAGGACGACGACCAATACGCGACTATGTCTTAGAGTTTAACTAGCTTCGCGTAGAGTCCTGATAGCAGTTTAGCCTAGCAGTAGCTTGCGAGATGTTTAGTAAGGGACTTAGAGAAGAGCTCTAAAAGCTGATGCTTTATACTCTAAAGAACGGAAGTCTAAAGGAATATATAGACAAGGCAATCGAGCTTTCTAATGACCTATACCAGATCTAGTTGCACGGGAGGAATTGAAGGAACGCGGCCTACAGTCATGCGCAAGCTCCCCCAAAGGTCGCTCAGCGAGATGCTAGTCCAGAAGCGATGGACTGGGAGCCCTCAAAGGCCAATCGGGCACGGGAAACGAAGGATAGACTAAGGCGGTCCCCACTAGACTGCTACAGCTGCGGCGAACTAGGCCACATCGCTAGAAACTGTCCGAACACCACTTGGGTTAAGAGAGCCGTTCCCCCAAGCGAAGGGCAGAGACGCCAGAAACAGATCGAATGCCTAGACGATAGCGACTCGGAAAAAAGAGTAGCTCTGGGCCAGAGTCTCGGCCCAGAGCCTCTGAAGATGGATCGGCAGACACGTAGCGAATGGAATCAGTTTTAGCAGAAGCATATGCGTCCCCCA